ACATACATACATACATACATACATACATACATACATACATACATACATACATACACACACGCACACACGCACACGCACGCATGCACGCACACACGCACATGCATGCACACACGCACGCACGCACACACATGCACGCGCACACACACATACATATGCACACACACGAAAAACGTACTCGCATACGCGCACTCGCACACACACACACAAACACACACACACACACACACACACACACACACACACACACACACACACACAAAAACACGCTCCCGCATACATCTACACTCCAGCAAACACGTAACTCCGAACGAGAAATGAGGCATACTACCTTTTAACTATCGAATTTAAAAAAAAAAAAAATTTACACTCTGTGACTGCTGCTCTCCAACTGGGTCTGTCATGAAATGGGCTCTCTTATATCAAGGGATTGTTGTTGAAGTCCTTGATCGGAGTCCCTTTTTGGGGATGTCTTTTACTACATTTTCACAAACACTCCTTCTGTTCGCCACAGTGCAGTGGTCATTCCTCAAAGTTACAGTAGGGGCTCTCGTTGCCTGGAGGTGAAGGTATTCGCTTTTCATTCAAAGGTCCCGGGTTCGAATCTGGGTAGCGACCGAAAAAATTTTCTTCTCGAAAATTGTCTCCTTTTACATTTTTTCCTGCTCTCTAGCAATGTTCTGGTGTCTGCTTTCGTCTCCACTTTCTGCCCCCACCCTCTCACCTCTTTTGCCCCCTGCTCTGGGCTCCTGACTCTTTCTGCAGCCTTTCTACTGCTACTCCTTGGCTCCTTCTTACTGTTGTCTTTCAGCCATACCCTTGATCTTCTGGTAGAAACCAATGTACTCTTGTGACCGTCCATTTAAATGCAATCTAACTAATATTGCTCGACTTTGTTAGTGTTGCGTTGTCGAAGGGAACCCGCCCATAACAATCGTCAAAAATTCAATATGTCCGCCGTTTCCATAGCAAACTGAACATTTTCTCAAAATCAACAAGACGCAAAGTACAGAAAGCTTGTTTAAGACGATACTTCTTATTTAATATATGAGAAAAATAGGCTCTAAAAGTAGCCTGCCCCTTAAATGTCGTCTCACTAACACTGATGGACTGTGGTGTAACACTTAGGTACTTGGCTGTCATATGTAGAAGGCCTGGATTTGATTCCCCATTGGGGATAATTTTTTTCGAATATCTTGGCCTTTCTGCTCAGATGCTGTATTCCTCTCAGCCCGGGTTGACCCTGACAGACAGAGTCGAAGCCCTCTCCCTAAATGATCTAAATTGTGTCGATAGTGACGTATAAAAACGACCCTTTGGTTTCACACAACGTGTCACGGTGAAGCGTAGGAAAGCCTACTTAGACAAGGGGCACCCAAGCAGCTGATTATACTACGTTTGCCAGTCTGTGACTGGAGACCTTTATGTGTTTTAGTAAAGAGAAGTACATTGACGCATTAATAGTCAGGTAGTGCTGAGAAAAAGAAAGACCAGCAAACAGAAACAAAAGAGGGAAAGTAAAGGAGTAGGACCTACCAGGGGCGCCCGCCAACCACAAATGGCGTGCTATTTCATGTAAAGTGCCTTTCCCAAAAACACAACGCTGGACCAAGCTGAGGCATTGAAACCCCGAAAAAAAACACGCTATCTGGCGATTACAGCACCGGCTGCGAAACCACTATAATAATAATAATAATAACAATAATACTAC